TGGCAGTCGCGTAAACATCTAAAGCTTTTGTAACTGAAACTTCTTTTGATTCGATATACTTTGAAGATATCTTACTTACATTGTCTCCGAATCGATAAAGGTTACAATGTAAAGTTTCGATGACACTGTATAGGTATATAGAGTTGTGTATTAATCACGCGTTCTCAGCTTCGAGTAGCCATACGTTCGATCTAAAAGTGCTTCGGCTAGTATATCGAACATTGTAGTCTTTTGTTATACGATAAGTTTGATCCAGAATTCGGCAGATAGGTAAATTATTTTTAATCACCTTAAAAATGATTACTGAAGCCGACCGGATTGATTGTTATAAATATGAGTTGCTAAGAATATTTCGTTTTAGTGCTTTTTGCTGTTAAGATATCTGTATAACTTTAAGAGGGAGATTTTATACAAATAAGAGGGGTACACAATCCATCTCACGGTATATGAATTTTGTGGCCCGTAGCCATTTATCCAAAATTAAGAATCAGAATGCAAATGCGTTTTTTTTTAAATAATATTGAGTGACAAACAAACAAACGGTAGTGAGTGGCTAGTGCAGTCCATGGACAGGCGTCCATGGACTGCACTAGCCACATATTTCGACATATCGATATTTTTGCCCAAGCCTACTAGGCAGAAAAGGAGTCGTACCATGTACTAAAATGCGTGCCACACCGCTTTTAAAGGTTAAAGTAAAGCCACCTCTAAAGATTGAATAAAACTACCTTTACATGTTTTATCGCGTTTAATTATATTTATTTTAATACCCGACGTTTCGGGGGCTATACAGTACCCATGGTCACGGGCGACTGAGGTGATGATGAGGACGTTCCGATGTTAGAGTTAACCCGGTGTACCTTCAGCTTTTTAATTATTATTTTTGGTGCGATCTATGCAGAATGAACTTATTGTGTCTTGATGTCTTGCAGTGGTATAAGTGGTACCTACCATAATTTTTTATCTATATGGTATGCTTGGGCTTAGTTTTAATTTTATTAATTACAGGATCCCAAGCAGGTGGTAGTACCCAGCCTCCTTCTTTATTGAAATTAGGATTTTTTTTTGATTTAAATAGCCTCACGTGACCATGGATATTGTGAATCGGGAATTCCGTCGGGAATTAAAAGTAAGTATAATTAAATGTGATAAAATCCGAAAAGTAATTTTATTCAACGTGGAGTGTTCGCGTAAAAAAAACCACCTCCAAAGGTTAAAGTGAAATCTCTCCAAATGGAAACCAATTAAAAGGGTCTTGGCTCTTTATCATCACTTCGCGTCCTTCTCTGATCGCGACGAGATTCAAGGTGCAATCATAATAAAAATGCATGCAATCTGCAACGGCTGTTACTTTAAAATACGGCTAGCTCTCTTTCTCAATAAGATATAAGTTTTCTATTTAGATACGTTTGCTTATTTAAAAAAGGTATATTAATTAATAATTTTCTTTTGTTTCAGATATCATCCAAGACGAACAATCCGAATTAGCAGTAAATTGCGTTTAGTATATATCGTGTAAAGTACTTCTAAGCAATGCCCATTCCGTTCTAGAAGTTTAAAGCTATTTAAAATCTGTATTTTAAATTTGTCTCTATCTAGTTCTTCTATACAAAGCTAGGGCAAATTTCGCGCGTGTTTTATATAATAGAAAAACGAGGACGACAACAAAGCAGCGATGGCTAGGCCTGAAGTTGTGCGATGAACCGACTTATGAAGACGAGGGAATGGACGAACCTAGCGTCACGAAGCGGCCCTCTGTGCTAACCATAGACAGGGCCGCATTTCTTCTACTGAGGGTCAAACGAGCGTTTAAGAAGAAGAGACAACAGAGGAAAGAAAAACAGTAAGTACAAACTAGTAATTTATTAGTGTTGAACATGCCGTAGTGTGAAACCTGTACAAGTCCACCCTGACAAGTTCATTTGAATTGTGAGGTCGGATATCGAAACTCTTTTTATAGAACAAATAATCACTCAGTCTGCGATGACATTTACATTTATCCTCGATTAAGAATCAAAAAGAGATGCGTTATCACCCCTAAGGACTAAGATGGAATGCCTCGTTTCCAATAAAAAGGGTCTCTGTTTCTCTACACTCACAGTACGAAACACTGCAGCAATAAGCTGCTATTTTGTTCTGGTATTCTGTGAGACCGTGGTCCTACTCCGGTCGATCCGACCCATTCATGCTACAACCGTAGCGCTACCACGTATAACTTTACAATTAAAGCGTGTAAGATCGATTATGTATATCGTTACCGTTATATAGTCCATATAGTCAAGAATACAGGATTCTTGCCATAGTTACCACGCTTGGTAGTGCTTTCTTATTACGAAGATGTTGCTGCCCATCTCCTAGTTTGTTTCCCTCTGTCGACTCTAATGATACTTACTGGCTGATATTATGGGGTAGTATATATTCTTACACCGGTATTAGATGGTCGATTCTGTAGACAATCCTTAATTATTAAGTGCATAAATTATGATGACGATGACGGAATAATTGAATTATTACCTTATTCTTACTAATACTAAACATATTATTGACGGCTTGGTAATATTTAGCGCGTTCGGCTGAGTCGCTGCAGGGCAGTTGTTTCGGGTCTGGAGGCCTATCCATATGCAATTTAAGCATGTACTAAGTTTGAAAACAATGGTAATGTTTTTTTATGTTATTTAAAACTAGTTATAAATACTATGTATACAATTACATTTATTTTATTATAGCTACGTAGGGTTACGTTTCTGTCTAGAAATTCTTTTGAGAGTTTACTACGTGTTACAAATTATTGTTGCTAAGTCGCAGTGCAGCAACTGTTGCTTTCTGACTTGAAGGGCATTGATTGAGTAAGTATTTACAGGCTGATTACAGGCTATAAGGTTTTCCATCTTAGAGATAAGAACGAATCTATAGCTTTCTTTATTTGAATTGGCATCATTTACCATCATTTTTATTTATACAAATAAATAAAATTTAAGTGTCCATTTGTGATGTAAAAATAACAGCTTTTTACTAAGTTCATATGAAATTATATACGGTACTTATAACAAAGACATAATTTTTAAAATTTCTGTCCATATCTGTCTGTTTGTTCCGGCTAATCCCCGAAATGGCTGGACCAATTTTGACGGGACTTTCACTGGCAGATAGCTGATGTTATATGGAGTAACTTAGGCTATTTTTATTTTAGAACAAGAATTAGGGTTCCGCGAAAGATTAAAACCCTACATTACACGCGGGAAAATTCGCGGGAAATAGCTAGTATAGAATAAAGGTGACAAGCGAGCACGCATTTATCTCGATTAAACTTAGTCTTGTTATACGTGGTAGAACCATGTTGCAGCTATGTTATGGTTGTAGCAGGAATGGGTTGGCTCGACCGGGGGCTTGACCACGCTCTCACAGAATACCAGTGTAAAATAGCAGGTCAATGCTGCTGTTTCATATGATGAGTGTAGAGAACCGAATATTATTTTTACTGGCAACGAGGCATTCCGTCTTAGTCCTCAGGGGTGGCAACGCATCTACATTTTGATTCTTGTTCGAGGATAGATGTAGATGTCTATGGGCCACTTACCATCAGGTAGATTATGTGCTCGTTTTTCACCCTTATCCTATAAAAAATCTTCTTCCTCATATACATACACATGCGTAAACCGGGGTTTCTTTGTGTGATAAACTCAGAAATAAGGATATTAGCAGTAGAACTAGAGTGACCGACATAGCTCAACGGATTAGTAAGCTGAAGTGGCAAAGGGCCGGCCGTATAGCTCTAAGAACCGACAACCGATGGGGAAGGAAGGTTCTCTAGTGGCAGCTTCGTACCGGCAGGCGAAGTGTAGAGCGACACCCCACTAGATGAAGTAACGACCTGGTCAAGACATGCAGGATGTGGCTCAGGACCGTGCTTTGTGGAATTCCATGGGGGAGGCCTAAGTTCAGCAGTGGACTTGTGAAGGGCTGTGATGATGATGATGAAATCTTGGTACACATCAAAGTACCTAAACGTTTATCTGTTTTGTTTATAAATAAAAAATTACAATCTTTAATATTGTGAGTAGACATCTTGGCGATTTAAGTATTGCCTGAACGTTAACCTTTCTTGTTCCGAGAGATTTTGGGGATTAGAATGATTGGTATTTACCTCACGTAACATAGTAATGTAATCTTTAGCCTGCCGTACTGTTCTTGTAATTTCTAAATGTTTCAATCCGCGACACGTTCATCCTCCTTTTCAAAATAATGTTTCAGTTATTTTTGTTGGCTCACCTATAACTACGGAACACTGATATTTAAAAAAACCTTAAATTTCTTTACTAGATTGCTTCTTTTGAATTTAATGGCCAAGAAGATGTCCCGCATGTATGATGATGAGGTACCGCAAATAATGTTAAAACGTTACTAATATTCCCTTTACCCATTACTGGTAAGCTGAAAATGCTTGTGTTAGGAGAGGTTCACGACAGAAGTCGAATGGCGTATTCGAACTTACATCTTTTTGAGTTCACGGTCCGTACATTGCTATTATAACAAAAAAAAATTGTTAATAACCCAATGCCCTTTATATTGCGTAATAGGCTATTACGCGGAGAGGGATTATTCAATTATTCAGATGAGCTAATTAATGCCTTTTACCATTTTCGGCTGCATTATCTCTTATCATCAAGTAGTTATAATATAAGTAATCAAATACTGGATTATAATAGATCCTAATAGGATATTAGGTACTGCTTTTAGGTACTTCCCCTGAGAACTTAATCAAGTAACAATAAGATCCTGTATTAAGTAAGTAGAACGGTAAATTAATATAAGTACCTCCTAAATTAACTCCAAATTTTTTACAAGTCACTTGAAAATTATTTAAATTTATAAAGACCTAAATATATTAACTAAAATAATCGATAACACGATGATAATATTTGTTAATACTTTTAGAAATCCATTTACTTTAGCAATTAGTATAATATACAATTTTTCGCAACAAAAGTAGGTTTGTTAACTCATACTGTATTGGGGTTTTTGGTAGAAACATAAACCATATTGGTTCCCGAATCAGGAAGCTTTTCTTTTTCTTGTTGTTCGTTTTTGCCTAGGTCCTTTTTTACTGAAGCTTTATTTGATAGTGCTGGTGTTAAATTAACAACTTTGATATCTTCTTTTATCTCATTATCTCCAACTGCATGTATGTCTGGTTTCTTTTTCAAAAATATTTCAGCATCTCTAGATGCTAAAGTCTTTTTTTCTGGTAGCAAGTATATATCAATCGTCTTTGATTTTATGGGTTCTGAGGGTAGAATCGGTCTTCGCGGAAAAATATTTTGCAGCACTTTCATTAATGACGGCAATAGTAAATTATTTGATTGAATCGGATTTGCAATCATTTGGTTTTGCTTTGGAGAAAATTCAAAAAAAAATCCATCCTCTTGAATATTTTCGTGAGAATCACAACACAAAGTAGATGATATAAGATCTTTGTTAAAGGAGAATAAGTCGTTACTCATCAAAATTTTGTTAAGTATTTCTGAAGGATGGGTCAGAAAAGGATCCTTCATGCCCCGAAGACTTGAGCAAGGGCAAGTTTCTTCCACTGGGGAATCATGTTGTGAAGGGAAAAATGAACTAGATGGATGTAAGAATGAATCTTTCTTCGTTAACGCACCTAAAAAGGTAACATTGTCTATTTAATATTTAATACAATTTAAATTAAACGTTATTGATTAATTTCACAAAATAATAATATAAGTTACGTAATGCAATATGGTTGGTACGAATAATAAATTTATATTATTAATGGCTAAATATGGCTTTGATATATTTTAGAAAGTATAATATACTTAGGTGTGAGGTGATCGAAAAAAGTATATTTGCATTCAAATTGTATCAAGTGACTAATAAGTATTTAAATTAAAAACCTTCTAGTCAGTAAATTTTGACTGCAAGTAATGCCAGTCGGAAATATATTTTTTTTATAGGATAAGCGTGACAAACGAGCACACAATCCACCTGATGGTAAGTGGTTGCTGCGGCCCATAGACATCTACATCTATCCTCTATTACAAATCAAAATGTAGATGCGTTGTCACCCGTGAGGACTAAGATGGAATGCCTCATTTCCAGTAAAAAGGGTCTCCGGCCACCTGCACTCATCAAGCGAAACGCAGAGGTAAACCTCTACTTCACGCTGGTATTCTGTGAGGTCGTGGTACCACCCCGGTTCGAGCCGGCCCATCCATGCGACAGCAAGAGCTGCCGCGTGGCTCGACCACTGTAAAGTTTAATTATGTTTGTTTATACATGCTATTTTAAATATAAAGAATATATAACTTACCTCTTTGTTTATCGTTCATATAAAATGAAATATCAATTTTACCAAAATTGACAAGCGAATTACTTATAGCTGGCACTGGTTTAGTTGCTCTTGTGTCCCGGCATATTACTCCTGTCAAGGTCCCTATCAGTATAGTGAGTTTCACCAGCATTATCTAAATTCAAATGTATTATTAGTATGAGAGATTGTTGGAAGAAACAAAAATTATATTCAAATATAATCCAATTAAGAAAAAAACAGGCTCAATGTTTACAAAGTACAAATCGTTTGATGACACAAGCAATAAGAATAAACGGTCGATTGAAATTCAGCACAAATCAAATCACCCTGTTTCACAACTTCAATTTAGCGGTTTATGGGATTTGGATTTTACAGTCGGATTTCGTAATTGCAAAAACCTACGGAAAACGATTTGCAACATTATCGTGATATATATTTGAACCAGTTGAATTGCCTATACGTCTGTTTATATTTTAAGTCTTTTTATATTATTTTATTGTACCATATCATCATTATCTCTCATATCTTATAATAGTACTCGTACGTAGATTTAAGCTTTTAGGATAACGTAATAAAAATAAATATTTGGGGCTAAGCAATAAAATATTGCAGAAGGTACTTATGATATCAAGTGATCGCTTGAGAATCAAAGATAAATTCAAATTTACTCTTTTAGTAGATCATTGACTTGCACGAATTCTGTAGTCTTTAGATATGTTGTAACATTTTTATTGAAACGATTAGAATACAATTAAATTAAATTGAATTTTCTTTTAAAACTTATAATAATATTGTTTTTTAATTCGATATGATGGAAACAATAAGCCCCATTTCATCTTGCGGTAGTCAAAAAACTCTAATATTTGATTTGCAAAGTACATAAAATATAAGAAATTATCTGAAAAATAGTAAAATAACCATCTCAAAAATAATATTTAATACCTAGGCAAACTAGACAAAGAAAACATACTGATTGCAGCTAATAAATTTTACTGGCCGAGGTTTCTTAACTGTTATGTTTGCGAGCATTTTTTATTAAAAAAATATGTGTTATGTATGTCAGGCAAACTTTTGGCTTGTTTGTCACTCTTATGTTAAAGAAAACCTCTACATCTACCGAAAATTATTTTCCTTCAACAATAATCATCATTTATCATCATAAGTCAGTTAAAACTATCCAGATCGGCAAAAGAGAGCAGCGTCAAAGATGCAAGCCGTTTTGCTACAGCTGTCACTAATCTGTCTGTGAATCATGTTTATTACGAACATTATTCCTAAAATGGCAGAAATCAAAGTCTATGGCTATAAAGGTGTTTAATAATTAAAAATTGTTGAAATCTGAACAGGAATAAGCCAAAATAAACTAAAATTTTAATATTATATATATTATAAAATTTATAAAAAGTTTAAAATAGTAATGTTTCTCGACATCATAAAGTTTATAGGCACGATCTACGAGCACGAAAATGTTGCTGAGATTACAACTAATTTTATGACGCGTTTGAGTGTCGCATCGTAATTTGTTCCTATTTTCGTCCAAATGCGTTACTGCGTACTCCACAAGCATGTTGCAGTGAGGCAATGAAGTTCACTTAAATTGTATTTATTTATAAACGTCGATTTCTGAATCGGGTCGTAAAATTTCCGAAATACTCCTTGCTTATCGATTCTGATTTCAACTGAAACACCATAACGCACAAATGGCACTTACGCATATTCATCTCGCTATTTTCGTAAGTACCTAATATTATTTTTACATCGTTTTCTTTTATAACGAATTTTATTTAATTTCTTTTGCTACGTCAGACTTCCTTAATCAGCCGTAAAATTTTAAGAAAGTAAATTTTAAATATTGATTACGTTAAAAGGGTTTTTATGGTTTTATTAATCACTTATTGATTTCGCTGTTTGATAGCAATACTCTTATAATTTAAAAACTTGAATTATCTCTTCTTTTTTGTTTTATTACTTACTTTTATTACTTACCTTTGAACTTAAAACCGTCAGATATGAAATTTTTATTATTATTGTTTAGCAGTAATGGAATCTTACATTTTCACTGTAATAATTTTCTTAAAGGTTATAATATCAAAATCCGTTTCAAACTATGCAGCAGTAAATATCTCAAGCGGCACACCACCTGTGGTAAAACCTATATTAAATACAAAACGGCGAAATGACATCGTCGATGAAGCGTTTATGGAGCAAAAAGACGTTTTGTTAGATATGGTAAGGTTTAATAAGCTACAATAATAACTAGTTTCCTAAGTGTTATGTATTATTTTTTTTAAATGAATGAATTTATTAAAATATTTAATTATACTAATATTTGCAGTTGGAAACAAAATTAAAAGAAGTACGTGATAAGAAAAAGAAAAAGGGGGATCGGAGTGATATTTTGAACATCAATAATTTCTCGAATTATAACGGAGATAGTGTTAAATGTGAGCCTCTGCCTAAAAATGTTGATTTGAAAGTAAATGCGCATGGAATAAGTGCAATTGGTGAAACGGACGTCAAACTTAAATTTGGAGAGACTGGTAATAACATTTGTTTTAGAGCTGATTTTCCAATTGTCAGAAAAAAAGTTATTAATCAAATAAATTATAACCTGCTTATAAAAGTAAAACAATTGAAAAATTTTATTCATACATACACTTGTAATTTTTATTTTGTTTGTATTGCATGCCTTAAGCGCAAAACATGTAAGTATGTTCTACTAGCGCCTAAAAGTCAAGATTCCAACGTTTTGTTGCATAAAATCGTATATAACAATCATATTGAACATAAATACAAATGATATAAAAAGCACATTGTCAGAAAGATAATTAATTGTTGAACTTATAAATATTCTTTTAAATTGATTAATTGCTATTTTTACATGAAAAGAGTGGTTTTAGTGGCTTATGGTGTAGATTTATCAAGTCTGCATGGAGTGGTAAACACGATAACTTTTGAAAATATAATGGAATGTAAATGGCAGTATAATTTTCCTTTGGTTTGTTAAAATTAATTTTTTCAGCGTAGAAATGCCGAAATTTTCGGTGTTTTAAGCAACCTTGTAATAATTTATTTTATTAAATAGACTGCACACTGCCTCTCTCACTCACTTCGACCTCAGCTGCCGTCGTGGGTGGATACTGTATCGGTTGTTTGCAGCGCCTCAAAATGATCGCTGTACAAATATTTTATTCGAAAAACCAAATTTGATACATACTTTATTATTATAATTAAGATTATTATAATAATCACAGACTTTGATTACAATATTTTAAAAGCATAGAATAGTACTACGTACTAAAAGTAAGTAGGATGTATTATTACTCAAAAACGCCTTGGACTTTATGGAGTGACCAAAATGATGATTTGATGATCATATGAGCATTATGAGTCGTGCACTCTTTGCAACTTTTTTTAATTGAAGTTTGACATAAAACTATTGGATTTTTTAAAATTATTTAAAAAAAACGTGGGGTTACCACAGTGGAGGCAGTTTACAAATATAAATTACACGAGGACAAACATCCAGACCTGGAACAATTATTTGTAGGCCATACAAATACTTGTTCCGTGCGGGATTCGAACCCGCGGCACCCAGCGCAACAACTCATTGCTAAGCCACGGAGCCTTACAAATAAGTATAATAAGGTTAATAGTGAAAACTTATGTGATTTAAACTACTTTAAAAAAAATTCGTATAATTATGTTATACCTAATTTTTTTAATGCGCTTATGGCGTGCACAATTGGTTTTTATCAGTTTTGTATTTTATTCTTAAAATATTTTAATTAACATTTTAATGAGAGACAGATTTTTTTATAGGATAGGGGTGTCAACCGCGCACATAGTCCACCTGATGGTAAATAGGTTGATGTGGCACATCTACATTAATCCTTGATAAAGAATCAAAATGCAAATGCGTTGTCATCACTGAGAACTAAGATGGAATGTCTCGTTTTCACTGAAATGAGTCTCCGGTTCTCTACACTCACCATACAAAAGACAGTAGCATTAAGCTGCTATTTTACGCTTGTATGCCGTGAGTACTACTTTCTCTGGTCGAGCCGACCCATTCGTGCTACAACTATAACTAGCTGCAGCGTGATGGCTCTACCACGTATTAAATAGACTATACAGAGTTTATTTACATTTACGCAACTAAAGGAAAAATATAATGGGCAAATTTGATTCTAGGTAATGGTACTCTCAACCTAGATGCCACAGGTATATCTAATATTGGTCAAACTCACGTAGATTTAGGTGTTGGTGACGGAAGTGTTCATATACCTGGATTAAATAATATTTTTGTTGGTAAGAATTTCAATAATACTTAAGATTTTTATATAAAATATATTAGATTCCTTATGTAATTGTTTATTATATTTTAAATCAGTGTAGTAGTATTAATACTGCTTAGACGAATGGTGGAATCAATACATTAATATTATTTTACATAAATATTGCATAGCACTCTATCCCTTAAATTAAAAAAAATATATTTGTAAGAATTAAGTTTACAATCTTGTAATATATAGGAGTATGTTAGGGATGAAGCTGAATGACAGAGTGAGAAATTGTTTAATAAGAGAAGAGTGTGGTTTGCAAGATGATGTTGTGACCAGGATTAAGAAAGGAATGCTTCGGTGGTTTGGCCATGTAGAAAGAATGAATGAGGAAAGAGTGACAAAGCAAATCTATGTTGCAGAGGTGAACGGCATAGTCGGGAAGAGTCGCCCTAGGCGAAAGTTTATCGACCAAATTGGCGATATATTAAAAATGGACCATATCAAGAGTACCTTTAACCGACGAGCGTGTATGCGTAGGTATATGGATGTGGAGGAAGCGAGAGAGGTGTGTCAGGATCGTGCCAAATGGAAGTCCATAATCTCTGCCTACCCCTCTGGGTGACAGGCGTGAGTGTTTATGTATATATGTAATCTTGTAATAATGCTGGACAAAAACATTTTATTTACCGTTGATCTATTTAGCTAAAATCAACCACCTTGGGACTTCACGTAAACCCGAAACATATTTTTTTTTCTGGAATCTAATAATTATCTTCATAGTCTGAGTTAATAAATAGTTTTTAATAAAATATTTTCTTTAAGGTCCTCCCTTTCAAAGAAAGGCGTGTGAATTGATAAATCAAACAACTACTGTTTCATCAGATACAAGTTCAAATCCTGTTGTTATTGATCTAAAAGACGGCGACGGCAGAAGAATGAATAACGATAAATTTAACAATACGGTAACATTAGAGTCCAATAGTACCACTACTACTACTACTACTACAGATAGTAGTTTACATGCAAATAGTACTGAAAAACTACCTCTAAATAATAAACAAAATAATGATACTGGTAACGCTGTAACACCTAATTAGAAGGATTCGGTAACTCATTTAAATAACACCAAAATATAAGAATAGTAACAACGGACGAGCGAAGTAATATTGATCCAGAAATTATGTACAAAATATCATATTATTACACAAAACAAACTATTTTTGTGAATATGGACTAGATACACAAAATATAGTAAATATATATGATAAATCAAAAATCTTGCATTGTATATTTTCTTTAAGGTTTAAATTTTGAATGGAATAAAAATATAGTTTGCTATTTTGTGGTCCTATTATTATTTACTTTTGTGAAATTGCAGCACCAAAGTACAAACTATACTAATATAAATAAATTATTTCGGCACATTTGTAGTACATTGCCAGCTTTATTCTCCAAGTGCCAACATTCATTCCACTTGGTGCACTCTGCTGATTGAAGGGTAAAGTCCAGATGAAGCTTTGATTACGGAAAATCCTAAACCCAAATTTTACCACAAGATTAAACACATGACAGCCGAGCACAGTGAGTAGGGCAAGTCTGACACGAAATGCGTGTCCAGTTGGTTCATTCTTAGTAAGCCTTACGTTTAGCAGTTGACTTAGGACGCTGTATGGTAATGAAGTAATTTGAGATATTGATGACTTACAATACTACATTTTCGTAATAAAGTAACTAAAGAAATGATTTTATTCATTAAAAGTTCAATGATGTACTAAATATACCTTAAATTAGTAAATATGAACTGTAAAGTTATTATACATAGAAAGGCTTTGTTTGAAAGGCACTTTTTGTACTTGATATCAACCAGTAACTAGTGGTAACATTATCGGCATACTTAAAAATTAAATTAATACGAAATTTACACCAAAAGTAAATTAAGCTCGAGGAACTGACAAATTATGGGACGAAACATTTTTAATGGGAATAGCCAAGCAGCGTATTACAGCTGTATCACCAATGGGAAACTCAACTGGGAAAGGACCGAGTCTGCACAGAATATTAGCGTGAAATAGCAGCATAATGCTGCTATGTTACGCAGCAAAAGTTCAAAACTTTATTGAACGTTTGTATATAAAGGGTTATTATAATATTGAGAAATTAATGTATATTAATAACCCCTGGGAATGGAGTGATCGCTACCAAGCTGTTTCTGATTTATTTTGTGTTGTTAATTGCGTATTTTTTTTTAAAGTCCCGCTGGGTTTCTTTCTGGTTCTTCCCAGGGCAGAGGTTTTTTTCCGAACCAGTGGTAATAAAATAAAATAGTGACTTTCAGTAAGTATTATTTATAATCTATATTGAATAAAACAGTTTCTGTTTCTGTTTCACATGGTGAGTGACAAGTACCGGAGACCCTTCGTTGGTAACGGGACATTCCATGTTATACCTCAGGGGTGACAACGCATTTGTATTTAGATTCTAATTGAGAATATGCATAAATGTCTCTTAGCTAACCACCTAACATGTGTACTCGTTTGTTACACTTCTTTTTTTCTTGGTTTTTTCATCAGCTCAAAGGAGGTAACAAAATTTCCATTAACCATCACACTTCGGTCGGCAGATAAACGATCCCAGTACCAAACGTCTTGCACCTTCGACGGTGCTCCACGTCACCGGTCTGGTTATTCTACGTCTGGCGTGAATGGAATGGTTAAGCTACCATCTATCGGAAAGCATAGTATTTTTCTGACATTTTATGGTATCCTTCTACGATATCCACGGGACGCAATAGGATGATTGAATCTCTTATACTGCCAACACTCACACTTACTTTTATCAAAAAACTACCGATGCGATCCGGCTGCGCATGGTTGATTTGTAGATCTGGACAACTAAGCCACCTACTGGGTCTAATTGTGTATCTAAGCTATTCTCTAATTAACTTAATCACACACAAACTTTCATCATAAATAGGTCCAGCCGTTTAGGAGGATATCAGTCACATACACACGGACAGAAGAATTATATTATATATAATATGCATGTTTTATACATATAAACTTTCCACTCTTTTATTCTGTCTATTGATGCAAACTATATCAAAATCGGTACAGCAGTTTAAAAGATCTAAGAGTACAGAGGGCGGGAAGCGACTTTGTTATACTATGAAGAGAAGCTGGGCTTTAGATGTCATGATTCATTACATCTAAATCCAAGCTTAATTATGTCAAGGATAATCTGACATTATCCTTGAAATGTACTTTAAAGTGACCAAATTAGGTGTTACAAATTGTTACTATTAAAATAGTGAAAAAATTGCTCTATCAATGCGTCATCATGTTGTACAAGATCTGGAAGATCAATATTAACATCTAGCAGTCATAGCGCAAATAGTAATTGCTGTTTCAAATATAAGGAAACATTATAATTGTAACATTTTTATTAATAAAGCTAGAAATGAGCCCTATTTATATCACTGTCTGTTTTTCTCTTCGTATGTCCGTATACCCCTGCGTATGTAGTCGATTTATAGCTCGAAGCAAAATTAGTTACAGATCTGAAATTTGAATGTATTTTTTGATTTTCCACCAGAGATTACACCATCCCTAGTAGCCGTTTATTAACTAATGTTACACATTTTTAATATAGTTTTGTAAACAAGTTCAAGATTATTATACAAAGATGGCTAATTACAAACAGCACTGCGATTTGATACAGTGGTGTTGCTTTGACCGTACGAGAAAATAATTATAAAATTTACGAGTTTCAGTACTATTTACAAATTTTCTTATTATATACATTGTATATACACTAGAAAAATTTAACGTTTTAGGATTATTAAAGAAAATGTTGTTAATATAAAATCGTTAAAATGAAATAAATATGAATAATATTTTATATTTGTTAATTTAATAATATTTTATATTTTTTAATTTAATAATATTTTATATTTGTTAATATAGAATCATTAAAAAAATATAATTTGAATGTTTTATGTGGAATGTTAACCCAATACCTAAGCCCAAAACTAAATGATGAATTACAAATACAAATAAATAAATTATATTTCAGTGGGAAGGGGTTATAATATACATGAAAAAGATGCCGATTTTATTCAAAACATCATTTTATAATGCTTTTATTAGATAATTATTTTAAATTTATGCATTCCAGAACATCGATATATCCTCGACCGATTGTTTAATCCGCCAAATAATTAACAGCTTAGTCCGTTAATATAACGGGGACGCTTTATTATCCAGCCTGATTCACAACTGACTTGGTCGTTTTTCGATAACGAGCTTAGATCATAATGTTACAATAAAAACCCGTATTTAGTAGAAATGCGTTTTTCCTACTTAAATCCATTTTTTGCTAAATGCTTTCGTTACATCTGGAATTTCCCAGCAATAACTAGAATTACAGCTAAACAAAGTTACATTAAACTAGTTTATATGGTGAGGTACGCCTGCAAAAGCCGCGGACATTTAATCCAATAATAGGGGAATACATTTAAAGATAAATATGACTTTCATACGCTCCTAGATGCAATAAGGTTTTGGCTACTGATATTACTTGATAGCTGCTTTCGTATTTTTCACAAAGTCCGTTCCTATTTCAATCACTATTATTCGGAGCTTCTGGTTTTTACTTATTAACAGGCGGTACATCCAGCCTAGGCCATTTTTTACGACCGGGGCGTGTGTCAAACGTCGCCGTCATATTAATGGCCTAGGCTGTAAGTTAATGAGAGGATTGAACAATATTTGTCTTTCTAGTTAATTGTGTTCTTTTAGTTTTATTTAAAACAACTTAACAAATAATTCAATATGTTGACGAAGCTCGTAACCATGGTCTCTTATAGTTTGAGGGATATATATTTATAATATTATGCTTGCAAGTTTTTATATACTTAACGTATTTGTACAAAATATGATATCTTTAGAGTTACACTTTGTTAAAATAAACATTAAAAAAGTGAACAAATAATATTAACCATACTGAGTAAAGGTCTAGGTCTAGGTACAAACCGGTTTTCGCCGGCTCAGTCGGGGTATGAACGAAAGAGCTGTTTGTTGGTCCTGTGCACAGAAATAAAAGACGAACAATATTTCGTGACTTTATAGATTTAACTTATTAAGTTTTTCTTTTAAATTAGAGTTAAGTTAGAGATTTTGTACTGTAAAACAAGACAATACCGATTTATATCGGTAAATAATTAGTGTTATATATAAGCAAAATTTATCATATCTTTATAGATATAGGTAACAAGATAGACGGTTGATATTTTTAAAAGAATCAAAAATTACTATACTTATAATTATTACTATAATTAACTGCAGTTCCAAGTAGAGGCGATCCAAGAGCGAGTCTTGTCCGACATTATTCCGATGATATCCCGGACGTCAGTCTGAGCGAGATTAGAATGGCTCTCCAGCACCTTGAAAACGGCAAGGCCCCAGGCGAGGATGGAATTACAGCGGAGCTTCTGAAAGCGGGTGGAAAACCGGTACTTGAAGTCCTTCAGAAGCTCTTTAATTCCGTCTTCCATGGTGGCATTACACCCGAGGCGTGGAGCAGAAGTGCGGTGGTCTTGTTCTTCAAAAAAAACGACAACGCTCTCTTGAAGAACTACAGACCGATTTCCCTTCTGAGCCACGTCTACGTGCTGTTTTCCAGAGTCATTACGAATCGTCTCTTGCGCAGACTTGACGATTTCCAGCCTCCCGAACAAGCCGGTTTCCGAAAGGGCTTTAGCACCATAGACCACATACATACCCTTCGGCAAATTGTACAGAAGTCCCAGGAGTACAATTTGTCACTATGTCATTGACGGATTCAACTCTGTTCGGCAGCGTTTGGGAAATTACGGCACATCTTCTCTTTATGTATACCTCAACGAGAAAACGAGACTGTACAACCAGTGCGTATTGCCAGTGATGACCTATGGAACTGAGACGTGGTCCTTCACTGCTGGCCGGATGAGGAAACTCAAGGTCGCTCAGCGAACTATGGAGAGGGCTATGCTCGGAGTTTCTCTGCGTGATAAACTTAGAAATGAGGATATCCTCAGTATAACCAGAGTGACCGACATAGC